CCTAGGGAGAGATTTTCTATGAAGACTTGGCCCTGTAGTTATAGGGGCTAGTTGGGCAAATCTGAAGACCCACCTTTCCTGCTGGCCACCATCCACAGGTGGAATGTTTTTCCTCTTCCTGAAGGAATTGTCAGCTGTGTTTTTAAGGTCTTTTCAACAGATCAGGTCAGGTCCCATAGAATGTCTAGGATCTGCTCACAGACTGAGTCACATTCACCAAGTATCTTCACAGTGACATGTAAGTTAGTGAGATTTGTTTGTTTTCGTTTGAGATGGAACCCAGGGCCTTGCACATACTAGGCAAGCACTCTGCCACCAACAGACAGACAGACAGACAGACACACACACACAATCTCTTAGGTTGTGTTTGATTGAATACCTGGAACAGCCTTGTCATCTCACTTCAAACTGACCTCCTCCTAAGGAGTGTCTACAGAGCCAGCTGATGACAACAGGCCTTCAATGAATGCCTCCCTCCTTGGAGCCTCCTCCTCCATCACTGAAGTGTCTTCTCTGGATGGCACAACTTTTTTTTCTTCCAGGAAATATGTAAGAATCTGAAAACTTCCAAAAGCAAATCCCCCAGAGTTGTGGGAAACAAGACCGTGTTTCCCAGGGAGCCTCATGCTATCCCATACCCTGTGCTCAGACTGCCATGGCCTCTGTCTCCATTACTTACTGACCGAATGCCTTGGCTACATATAAATTACATTTTTAGAACCCTCAACAGTTTCTCTGCTTATCAACAAAGGACATCCGCTTCAGAGAGTTGCTTCTAGCCTTCTCCATGAAGGTTGAGGGGAAAAGTAATTTTAACAATTGGAATTTTGATGTGGTTTTCTTGGATTCAGTAGTTCTGTTTTCTTGTTTGTTTTGATTTGATTTGGGGTGCTAGGGATAAAACTCAGGGCCTCACACATGCTAGGCAAGCACTCTGCCACTGAGTGCTTCTACCCCAGTGCCTTAGTTCTTAGGGTTTTTTTGCTGTATGGGTTATTTGTCTGTTTGTTTGCAATACTGGGGTTTGAACTCATGGTCTCACACTTGCTAGGCAAGCATTCTACCACTTGAACCACTCCACCAGTCCCTTAGTTTTGTTTTGTTTGTTTGTTTGTTTGTTTGATAGATTGTTTCTAGGCCCAATATATGGAGAAGAACAAGTATGGGCTGTCCTTGAAGATTGTTTCTTTTTACCTACCTTTTAGAACAGACCTCAGGCCTACTCTGAAAGTCACTGGATTGGGTGAACAGTATGAAAACCAAATACTACTCATTGGGTCAAGTAAGACTAGAGTGACTCAGAACTAATCACGTTGTTATATATAGTAATGATACCTAATATTATTACTCATAATGGCTGTCACATTGCACTGCATTCAAGCGCTGTATGCTGTTTAACACTCAATGCCCCATCTGGCAGGTGACAGAATTAGGTGTATAACTCCTAGATGATTGAACCTAGGTCCCAAGTACCAGAGACAGGATTAGAACCTAGGGCCTGTAGCCCCAGAGTCCAGACTCTGTCCCACAGCCTTATCAGCATTGCACACTGGGCAACTGGACAACCTTATGTTTGAGTCTTTCAATATTGGGGTTGGCTCCATTGGTAGAGAAGTTGGCTCTTACAAGTATCAGGACCTAGCTTGCAACCTGGGCCTTCCATGGGTGCTGTGGTCACCTGTAGCCTCCAAAATATCCAGCCCCTGAGGGGGAGGTAGGACTGGGGAAACTTCAAGACCAAAGCCAGTTGTGTCAGTACATAGCTAGAACCCCCCCAAGGTGTGAGAACCCACTGCTCTTGCTTGCAGGGCTGGGAATGAGCCACAGCGGACACAAATGCCTCTCTGCAGTCCTCACCACCTCCTGAAAGACACCTGGACTTAAGGGTTTAATATTCTGGTGGATTCTTCTTCCTCCTACTCCAGGAAAAACAGATTTCTCACCTTCCAAAAGGAGCATGAGATTACTGGCAAGCCTAAAGTACCTGTGCTTGCTTGATAATTGTTGTGGTTTTGTTTGTTTGTTTGTTTGTTTGTTTTTACATTTTTATAGCCATCATCAGAACATAGTTGGACTCAGTTTGGAAAGAATTTTTGGTTAGTCAAGGCAAAAGAGGTAATTATCTGAAAATAGTCACACCTGTGTCCCTACTTTAACTCACTGTGTCTTCATCTGCTGGCATGCCATGCCTTTCTCTGTCTGGTGAAGTAGAGTCAAGTCTCTGCTGGGGCTCTTGGCAGGAGCAGGAGTGGAGAGGTCAGAAGGTGGTTCTACAACTTTAGTTTGGTAGCTGTGTCCAGAAGACAGACATGCGTAAGGTGCTGGGGACACACAGAGCCAGCCTCATGGAGTGGTCCAGGAGCTTCTTAAGATTCTGGTGCTGCTTCTGTAGGTCTGGGAGAGGCCCACACTGCTGCACTTTAACAAGCTCCTTGTAGTGTTGGCACTGCACATCCATGAACCCCACAGCATGTGGCAAGTTCCAGCACCACTCAGCCACTTCTGGGAGAGGCAGGAGAGGACCCCCAAGGAGAAAAGCTATGACGGCTTAACAGTTGTCACATCAACAGTCACACTAATAGATGTCCTAAACCACAGCAACTCATTTCAGCCAAGGGAGACTATAGAATCAGGGGCCATTTTCCATCACCTGTACACCTTGACCCTGGTCTGGGAAGTTGCTTTGTGATCTTTTGCATGATATCACGTAAGTATAGATTAGTGTGTGGGATTAGGCATCCGAAATGGGACACATGGTAAAAGAACTGTATGGCAGTCCCATTTCAAGACACCCCCAGTATCCACTGAAGCCTGAAGCCTTGGGTAGTATCAAACCTTTATATGGTATGTTTCATTCTTACTGTAGATCTTAGCAGCCTCACCATATGATATGATTTTTTTCTTTCCTTGTAGAAAAAAACTTTCAACTTTTCATGTAAAGGAAGCACTTACTTCTTCTCTTTGGCATGTCTAAATTACCAGAATCACTGTTCTTGCATTTCATGGGCATTATTAAGTAAAATGAGAGTTACTTTAACACAAGCACTATGATGCTGTGATAGTCAATTGGATAACCAAGATGTTACTGAGTGACTAAAGGGTGGGTAGAATATAAAGTGTGGATACACTGGACAAAGGTGTGGTTCACTTCCCACACAAGATTTCATCCCACTGCTTCAAATGATGTGATAAAAGTTTTAAGCTTACAGATTGTTTCTGGGATTTTCTATTTAATATTTTCACATTACAGTTGGCTGCATGTAACTGAAATAGCTTGAGGTGTCTGTCGTACTGGCAAACTCCATTGGTAGAAAGCTGGTGTGGTACTTTGACATTCTCTCACTGACTTGTTTAAAGGTCATGCAGCTGGCCAGGTGCTACATTTTCTTATACTTGCCTCCACCACATCCTCCAAATGCTGATCCTACATGGTTAATGCAGATTTCTGGTTTCCATAGCAGCACATCTACTGCCTGTACTTAATAAATGAAACTTATTTCAGCAACTGTTGGTTTGTTCTGAAAAAGACATTTTTCCTTACTGTTTTGGAGAGCAGAAATGCCATGTCTGGGTCCTGGTAGGAAGTAATCTTTTAAGTGAGTTTGGCCTTTGGTGCTAAAAGGAACAGTATTGCAGCAAATGGCTGGGAGTGGGCTGTTTAATTCTGTTTTCCTAATTAAATGGTAAAAGAAAGAAAGAAAGAAGGGAGGGAGGAAGGAGCTCTTTATAAGCTGTATTCAGGCAGATCAGGTTTCTTGCCCACTCACCAGTAGCTGTGATGAGGACTGTTCATGGCCAAGCAGGAACAGAAATGATAGTGTCACTTTTTCCTGAGGATAAGCTGGAATAGGTATTGCTGACATAATGCTGAATCCTTGTTAGAAATGATAATATCCAATAGCCAAGTATAAAATGCCCCTTCTCCCTCTCATCTGTCCATCTTCTTACTATGTTTGGCCTCCTACCTCTTGTGGTAGTCTCTGGATAAGCACCATGTAAGCTATTATAATGATCTACAGATCCTACCCACCTCCTGAGGGGCTTTCTTTTTCTTTTTTGCTTTTGCTGTACTTTTATCTACACTTTTTCAAATATAATAATAATAAGCAAGCAAGAAAACTTTAAGGAATACTGCATATTGTAGAAAAAGAGTAGCAAATAAATTTGCATGGTCTGTAGGAAATATATATATATATGTAATACACACACATATATTTATATATATATGTATAAAACCCAGCTGCTCTTTCTAATATTAAGGATCGTTATCATAGGGACTTGTGTAATAGGTGTATATTGGTTGTTACTTGGCTACTACAGATTAAAATTTTGGTACCAGCTTTTTTACTGAAGGTCAAGGTAAAAGAATGGATTCTTACCAACAGGAGGGATCATGGTCTCTCCCCATTCAGTAGACATTTGTTGAAGATAGACTCTCTTGTCCATTTTGGAGCTGTGCAGGTGAGCCAGACATTGCCCCTCCCAGGAAGTGATGCATAGTACATTACAGTGGGCAGCAGGATTCCAGTGTGATAGAGAAGCATTCCATTGGGTCATTACCATATAACCTGGGCCTGTGTTGTTGTTTGCTTTTGTCTTATTTTGTAGATAAGTTGTGATTAGGCTCAGTCTGTCTTGGACACACAGTGGGAGCAGATGGCCTGTAACTCAGAGTTCTTGAGGATCAGTTGGGTCAGGACCAAGAGCAAGGATGGCACTGCAGGCGGGAGGGAATAGATGGACATCTCTGGAGTCCCATCCAGAGGCTGAGAGGGTCCCAGTGCAGCATTCTACACAGGAAGGGCAGGCAACAGCATAGACACGCAAGGAGTTCACTGGGTATCAAGCTCAATGATAACCAAAGAGCAGAGGAAGGAGGATAATGATTAGTGACCTTGCTCTGTTCCCAGTCAGATCTCAGTTCACATGTGTCCAACATTGTCATGCCACCGGCTGTCAGGCAAGGCACTCATGTCTCTCTTGTCGGTTCTGTGTTTTAGGAATAGAGCTGTGCCCGCCTGGAAAACGGTTCATGATCACGATGGTGGCAAGCTTCGTGGCCATGGCGGGCCAGTTCCTCATGCCCGGACTGGCTGCCCTGTGCCGGGACTGGCAAGTGCTACAGGCCCTGATCATCTGCCCCTTCCTGCTCATGCTGCTTTATTGGTCGTGAGTATCCTCCATGGGCACCATCTCACATGACTGCACGCTCAGGGCATGGCCCAGTAGTCCCCGAACTACCCACTAGTTGTAGTTTGTGTTTTTTCCTAAGGACAGATCTCTCTCAGTCTTTCTCTTTGTCTGTCTCTGTCCCTCTCCTCCTTCTCCTCCTTTCTTCCTCCTCCTCCTTCTTGCTCTTGCACTCACTCTCTCTCTTCCTCTATCCCTCCCTCTCCCATCTCTTCTCTTCTCTTTCCCTCCCTCACTCTCTCTCTGTTTCTCTCTTTCCTTCCCTCCTTCTTTTCTCTCTCTCTCCCATCTTTTCTCTCCTCCTCTTTCCCTCCCTCCCTTTCTCTCTCTGTCTCTCTCTTTCCTTCCCTCATATCTCTATCTCTCTCTCTCTCTCTCTCTCTCTCTCTCTCTCATTTTTAGCTGTTTGTTGTCCAGGTATACACAAAGTAGGCAGGATTGTGAAATAAGCCCCTGTGTGCCTTCCCCCACCTCTAGCAATCTGCCCAGGGTCAGTCTGCCTTCATACCTTCTTGCTGCTGCCAACCCCAGCATGAATTTTGACATGAAGTTTATGAATGGATTTGCAAGGTGGTGGGAAGGTTTTGTGTTGGGGTGGGGGGTATGGAGGTGTTGAAGGAATGATTTAGAAAAGTTTCCTATCTCCTGTATGTGAGGGGTGGGCAAACCTCAGCCCATGAGCCAAATCCAGACAATCATCTATTTTTGTAAGTAAAGTTTTATTGCAACACAGCCATGCTCAGGTGTTTTCATGTACATTGTGAATGACTGCTTTCATGAGAGACAGCACAACCCACAAAGTTGAAAATACTTATTATCTCAGTAAAAGGTTTGCCTGCCCTCCCCCACTCAAGGTAAATCCAATGTGATTTTTTGAGCCATGTGTAACAAGTTTTTGAGTTGCTGGCTTTAAAGGGAAAAAGTCCAACTAAACACCCTGCCTAGGGGGTATGACCAGGGCAACTGACTTTTATAAACTCCCCAAAGGGATTAATGTTCAGCCACAGTTGAGAAGACATTGTTCTATGGATAGAGAGAGATTGAGGGGAGAAAAATGATTGTCTTAGCATTTTTATAAATAGCTGCTTTCTTTCTTTCTTTCCCTTCCCTCTCATCCCCCTATCAGTTCTGACACCCTCACCTCTCCCACAAGTGAAATGTACTGCAGTACAGATGACAATGACACACACCATGCTATATTGCTGCTTACTCACTAATGAAAACCAATTTTCTGGCACCAATCCCTTGTGTCCTTGGTTGAAGTGTCCAGTGTAGCTGAGCAGACTAGTGACTGGGCTTCAGCACTTGCCTTTAACTGCATAGTGGACCCACCCTGAGGAACATGAGTGAGCTGGAACACAGACATGGTTCCCTCAGGTCCACTGTACTTGTGTGCCTGGAGAGCCTGGGGCAGCAGGGACCCAGCAATAACATGAAAAGGGGCTACACACTAAGGAGGTGATTCAGTGGCCACAGATGCCAAAACCATGATCGTTTGTGGCCCCTGCTCCATCTGAACCCATCATGGGCCAGACATCCCTGTGCTCCAGTAGGTCCTGAAGGCAAATGATTTCCAGGAGGATGGAATTGCTCTTTTCCCTCCTTTCTTCTTCTAAGGAAGCCCTTCCTGTCCCCTCCCTTGTGGCCTATGTCTCTGGGCTTTGCTTGTTTGGGGACTCAGTTCATCCAACAAACTCATGCTTTGTGCTTTACCCTGTGCCAGGCACAGGTGCCTGCCATTTTCAAAATAGTAAAGGGCTTGTCCTCATTTCTTTTGTGCAAAAGACAGGCCTGCCTCCCCTCCAACTCATCATGACCTGGACCTGAAGCACAGCTCTTGCTGTGCCCTGGGCTGCTCTAACCTTCCCTCAGCTCCTATCCCTCACCCTGGCCTGCCTGATCCTCCTACCCACTGCCATGCTTCCTGACTGTCACCTCTGTGGCCCAGGGCCCAGGCCTGGGATGGGGAGACAGCCTGCTGTCCCAGGAATAGCAGACAGGTCTATTTCCCTCTCCCCAGGTCCTGCCTCCACCTGCCCCAGGTAGGAGAAGACCTCCGGGGAGGAGGACACTGAGAAGAGCCTACCAGAGCAGCTCCAGGTCTACAGGCTGATCCATGAGGGAATTGGCTGGGGTTTATCGTTATCTTTTTTTTCTTTTAAATTTTGGAACTATATTAAGACTCAATGACAGGCAAGGCAGACTTCATTTCTTTAAACACATTATAAGACCTAAGCAAAATTCCTTAAAATACACAGATTTAAAAACAAAATTGTGTCACTTTCAAAAAGGCATTCAAGAGACTTTAACAAGTAAAAATGTACCTGCATGAGTGCATGGATTGTGGTGTGGTGTGCCACACCACATGCTCAGAGCTCTGTGCTGTAGTCTGACTGTCAGCATGAGCAACCTGATCTTTATTGAGTCTTTGTTTTCTCATAGAAAGGGAGTGAGAGTGAGGTGAGGTGGTGCACATCTTTAATCCCAGCTAATTCAGAGGCAGAGATAGAAGGATTGCAATCCAAGGGCAATCCAGACAAAAGCACAAGACTGTATCTGAAAAGCAAACTAAAAGCAAAAGGATGGGGGCGTGGCTCAAGTGGCACAGCACCTGCCTAGCAAGTGTGAAGCTGTGAGCTCAATCCCTAGTACAAAAATAAATAAATAAATAAAAACAAATAATAAAAGTGAGTTGCAATAGCCTCTATCTCATGGGATTGTTTGGAAGACTGAAACAAATACATGCAAAGAGATGCATGGAGAGTCAGTCTAGAAGGGAAGCTTGGGTACAGAGCCTGGAGCTCTGCCACTTAACAGTTGTGTGACCTTTGGTGAGAGGCTTAAATTCACTAAGCCTCACATTCATCGGCTTTGAATCATAATAGTCAATAATTGGGTTAGGAGGAGTCAATTAATTAATATATGCAAAGCACTTAGAATGATGCCTGTCATTTAGTGGCATGTACTTAACGATTGTGATCAGTAATAATTACTGTATTGTATATTTATAGTATTGTTATTTAAGGTACTTGGCATTGTCAGGCCTATAATAAGTTCTCATAAATATTAACTACTGCTATAGTGTTATAGTATAGTAGTGATACAGTGTTATATCACTACTTAATAACGTAGAGAAGTCCTGATGTGGTGGAGGCAAATTTTAAAACTTGGTGGTGAGGAATGCAGTGCTACCTCAGAATCCCTGGCTTTTCGAACACTGTGGAGGCACCCGTCCTTTTTCCTCATCTCCCTAATCGCACCCTCCTCCCCCCGCCGCAGTCACTCTGTTGTCTGACAGACTGCAGTGGCCTGCTGGGGAGAAGGGTGAACAGTGGCACCAGCCAGCATGGCCAGCTGTCAGTGGCAGAATACCGAGTCACTCACTCTTCTTTAATGAGCAGTTGTTTATCGCCTGCACCTAGGATGCCCAGCAGTGTGCTTGATACTTTGAGTAACTGTAAAGAGCAGACAGAGAAGCATAGGCAGGAACAGCAGCTGTCAACCCAGCTGCCTGAGGCAGATCCCCACCATGCAGTTGTGGGGTCAGGGAAATGAAGATAAAGGTGTGGGGGCTGACTGGAATGGTCTTCTGGTCAGGGTGGTGGACCGAATGGGCAGAGGCCCCTCTAAACATGCAAATGCTGGGTAAAATACACTAGAATACAGTGCTCAGCTCCAGTGTGTAAAGGAGAAGTCCCAGGGCTGGCAGGGAGGGGATTCCGACAGGAGCAGTCACAGAAGCAGACCAACTGAACCAGAAAGAAGCCTGTGGCTAGAACTGCGCTCTCACACCTTGCTGTGGTTTGAATGTGGTTTCCCAGCTCCACCCCCTCAGGTTCATGTGCTAGAGGCTTGGTCCTCATTGTGGTGCCGTTGAGAGGTGGTGGACCTTTCAGCTTCCAAAACTCTGAACTAAATAAATCTTGTTTCTTTCTACATTACCCAATCTCAGATGTTCTGTTATAGCAACAGAAAGAGGACTGATGCAGGCTTCGTATGCATTTAAGGAACAGAATTCCTTAAATAAAGTCAGAAGAAAGCTGTCAGTGACAATAAGACAAAGAAGTCTTTGCCTACCACAGAACTCAGCCCAAAGTTGGCTGACACCCTGAACTGTAAGCAGAAAAAGATTTACTTGGAAAAATCAGAGCTTCAAAGTTTGCACGAGGCATGGCTGTGTTCTAAATTCTAGCTTCCTACTAAGGGTCAGCAGCAGAGCCCCCGTTGGAGGCACTCAAGTCTCACAGGGAAGAAAACTCTCATCAAAGATGAGCTGTCAGACAGAATTCACAGATAACATGGTAAAAGTATTATGGGGGTCAAAAACTATAGTTTGGGGACTTTGCATCTCAGGAACTATAAAATAGAGCAACCTAAAAGAGAAGTTGATTTGTCTATTATTTTTTGACCAGGCACCACTGTCCAGTGCCGATGCAATTCTAGATCCTGCACCTGCACACGAGCAAGTCCCTACTCTCTGGGAAAGGCAGGGGGTGGGAGGAGCCCACAGACCATAGACCCACATACAAGCAAACGTGATGCTTTTAGATAATCAACACTATGGCAAAAATTCAATAATGCAGTAAACTAGAGTAGGGTGAGCAGGAAAGCCCTCTCTGAAGAGGTGGCCTTCCTACTGAAACCAAACCATTAGGTCACACAAAGTTCTGAGTGGGAAAAATGTTCCAGGCAAGTAAGACAAGCCAAGGCAGAAACTGGCTTCTGCTTGGCTTATTCTGGAAGAGGCAGGTCAGAGCAACTGCAGCATGGAAAAGAGGGAGGGACAAAAGAGACTCAGAAACATAGCTGGGGCTGCAAGCTTATTCCCAAAGCTGCAGAAATGCAGCTGGAGATTGTGCTCCAGCTGGAACTCCAAGCGGATCTCTCTGTAAATGGACAGTGGATAGAAGGCAGGTGAAGGTTGAGACAGGAAGACACTTGCTGTACCTTGTGCTGGTCTGTGAGGTGCAGCAGTGCTT